CCCTTCTGAAGCTGCTGCCCCTGCGACCCGACCCCGGATAGGCGGAAGAAAATGGATGGATGGATGGATGGATGGTGCATTTATTTATTGGTCCATTTATATATTTCTGCTTTTATTTATAATAATGTCAGATTCAGTCTTCCGTTCACACCAAGAGAGAAGTTGGAAAACTGAGACAGATTTCTTTTTTGTCCACCAGGTGGCAGCAGTTCATCACAGTCTACAGCTGAAACATTTCGGCTTGTGAAGGTGGCGTGAATGTTGAGTTCATACATACAGTACGATGCAGTAAAAATATACAGGAAATCTGTGGAGATTTTACATCATAATCATCAGACAACATTCAGAATGTACAAAACCTTTTTGAGAAACATGTTTGACAAGATATTTAAGATTAATAACTGGTGGGAAAGATGGCTGGTTGATAAAAAAAAAAAACTTTTAGTCCATAACTGTTAAAAAATGCTTCACAATTGAACAAAAACAAGTAAAAACTTTTTTGGACCACACAATTCTCCAGGTAAAACGAGGTTTAATAAAAATCAAAGGAAATTACTTTGTGATTCCTATTGAAAGCTTATTTAACCCTTTAGGTACAGGAACGTGTCATCTGCAGGATGCAATGAGCCTGCCTCTTCACTGCATCTTAGATTTTGAGAAAATGAACATTTGAAGGTAAACTAATTTCAAAATGTAAATGTTTTAATTTTTAAGGATCAAGCTTCAAAGTTACAACATCTAAACTCTCCTGCTATCATTGATGCTGACGCAGTTAAAAAAGTAATTAAGGATTTGTGTGATTTATTGAGCACATGTTTCCTAACTGAAGCAGGATCTGAGCTGCAGATATCAGCTGAGGAGGGCAGCAGCTGGCACACCTTGTCATGATGACCTCCTTCACTTATTCTCATGCAGCAAAGGGAAATTTTATTCAATATTTGACAAAAACAGGATCTGGCATCACTGAGCAGAAACTCCACAGGCTGTTTTATAACATTATTAGAACACTAAACAGCACGGAAAAAAGGAAAGTAAGAAACGATAAAGTAGCGAATTTTTTGCTTTTGTTCAGACTTTTATCTTCTCTCAGACATGAAGCCAAAACATTTCATGCTTTGTCTCATCAGAACATTGTGACATTGAGGATTCAGAGCGATAAAGACTTACAGCTGGTATTTTGTCCCAAAACAGCCGAGACCGCTTGACAACGTTAATGTAAATCTTTTTTTTTTGTGCATGAGACCCATGATTTTAACTCAGATGTTTTCCAAAGTAACTCTTGTTTGCTTTTGTCAGCTGTTGATGGTTCTTAATACAGAGCAGTCTGAGAGTTTAAATAAAAAGTAATAATCAATAGAAACTGAAGAGCTGTAGATGAAAATCCATTTAATAAGGTGTAAAAAATAAACTGATTATTTAAAGTCAAAGTTTTAAAAAATGAGGGTTAAATAGCAAGGTGTAAATCCATATAATCAGTGGATGAACTTTTCTGTCTTCTGTTTTCACTAAAGTTCATTTTCACTTTTATTTCTGTTCTGTTCTAAGGCAGCTGGAGGAAAGTTGGAGCTTAAATAAAAGAAGAAACAATGAAATATATTGTTCTAATAAACTAAGACTATATTAAACTTTAGGTCAAACCTGAATTAGGTTGTTTATAATATAGATTTGTAACCAACAGCTTTTGTTCAGTAGTTTTAAATTATTATTTAAGTTTCTAATGATTGACGTGAGGCTAAACTCACTCTGAGCTGCGATGTGAAACATACATGCTGGTTTTGACATGCATCCTGTAATGGTGGAGTTTTTACAGTTTTTACCAGATGAAGCAACCTCTTTTTTTAATCACATTTTTTTCTACTTTCAGAGTTTGAAATATCTCAGTTATTCCAGCTCTGTTTTGCCTCCGCTGCTGCCAGATGTTAGAAATGAACACATCAGGCATGAAGCGTGATCACAGGATGAAAAAACTCAAAGTTTACCTGGATTGTGTGAAATCAATTAATGTGAAAAGGTTTAATAGGTGCAATATCATGTTCAAATAATAATAATAATAATAATAAAGTGTGAAACTAAGGGAATATACAGTATGAATGTATTTGGGGGATTGTGGTGAAATAATAATAATGAATTGGTTAGATGTTGGTGTAGAGGTGTGGCTTAAACTGTTCTGGTTTAATGTATTCTGTGTTCGGGGTCCATATACTGTATGAGCTAAAGCAGCTTCTTGGGAGTTCCCACTTTTATACAAAACCTGACAAAAGTAATGTTATGAACATGTTACCTGTCCTAAAATATTTAGTAAATCTCTGTATGTGGAGGTGTGTGAATCAGAGCTCACAAATAAAACTCTAAAATAAATGTATTTATGATATTTGTTCAGACTCAAATTATGTCAGGATCAGATCCAGGACGTTCGTTACTTCTTTCTTTCTGCATGAGTTGCAGGAATTTTCCAGAATTAATTTCGTGGTTTTTATTTATTTATTTTTTTCTGTCTTGTGTCTCAATCCACTTGGGAGGAGGCAGGGCCTGATTCATTACCAGAACATTTTACTCCCACTTTGAGCCCTGACTTAAYTTGATTAGGTCATCAGGAATATAAACTTTTAATAGCGTCCTGATGCGTCTCAATAATCCAGGTAAAAAAATCWAAAAGAAAAAAATTGTATAGGTCTTCTGGACGGGTTCTTCTCTAATGAAACGTTTCGTCTCTCCTCCAAGAGACTTCTTCAGTCTGAGAGTTTCAGGCWAAATTCAGGCTTTTAAGCCCTGCCTCCATGTGATTGACATCACATGGCTATCGTTGACACCTAATTAAAACCTATTGTTAACAGGGGGTGTAGTGATACTGGCAATAGCAGCACTGTAGGAGGGGGACAACTGAAAACGGAGGCCTCCACCTCTGTTWAATGATGGACGGTCTTTCTTCACAAAAATGGCTTCTTTTACTCCTCTCTCAAACCAACGTTCCTCTCTATCAAGAATGAGAACATCCTCATCTCTGAAAGAGTGACCGCTGGCCTGTAAATGAGTGAAAACTGCAGAGTTCTGGCCATTAGATGTAACTTTTAACAACGTTTGTGTAGAAGGTGGGCGGGGCATGAGAGTGGTTTTGATTGTTCAACATCTTTTTTTCTCTGTTTCATTCATTTTTGGATGTTTTATTATATTTGTTGTCTGAATGCAGCACAGATGAAAATAATCCTAAGGCTAAATCTGGGATCAAATGTTTCTACATTTAATTACACTCTGTTCTAAGTAAAGTGAATTGAACTGACTACAACATATTTATAATGTAACTGACAGTTTCAGGTTTAATCTCTTGCAGCTCCGCTCTGATTCAACCTGATACTTACGCAACTGAAAACAAGTAGTCACTTGTAAGAGTTGTGTGGAAAACCAAACATCTGACACTTGTGTGAATCAGAAAAGAACTGAGATTTCTCAAAACCAGAAACACTCATTTCCTATGACAGTTAATTCTGTCAACGTGAAAAGATTTAGTCATAATAAATGGTAATTCTGATTATTAATGGCCCATTTGGCTGCAACACATCAGTACAGAGGTGGAGATCAAAATCAAGTTTCATATTRTTTGTCATTGCTTTATAGGAAAATATTTATAAATCATGGTTTGGTTCTTACCTCCAGTTTAGAGTTAAAGTTTGGTTCAAAATCAGTACAACAGAAAAAATACCCTTCTACAAAAACAAACGACACAAATTATTCTTGCCAGTTTGGAAGCTCTGAGGTATACGAGGAGGGATATGATCATTTTCATCTGATTTGATGGTGTACTGTTTGGTGATGTACAAACCTGAGCTTTGAGCTGTGGGGGGATGCTGACGCTGCCGGTCATCTTCCAATCTTGTTCACCTTGCTGGTTTTTCTGGAAAAGCAAACTTTGAATTGATTTAAATTAGAAACACAAACTTCAGAGACATCACACTGCAGAAAAGGTTAAAATTTGACTTATTCTGTTCAAACTTTGACTGCTTTTACCTTCTGTGGTAATTCTTCTAAAGTCACCAGGAGGGACGAATGTTTGAACATCTACCCTAAAAATCCACAGTGAGCTTTAAAAAAAGACTTATTGTCATTTTTCTAGACCTTTTAGCTGAATGAACAACAAATAAAGTCAGAAATGTGTTTTCTTGAGCTGTTCATGGATTCTAAAATATCAGGAGAATAATGTGCAGTCGTTACAAAATGAATATTGTTTTCTGGTAGAAAAACCCAGGTGTTACAAACTGGAGCGTTGACGTGTTTCGTTACATTTAGGTTTAATGATATTCAGTGCTTTTCCATAATTATTGTTGTTTTTAAAGTGATGTACAGAAATGAACAGTAACTGAAAAAAAAATCAAGAAGCAGCTGCAGGATGACAGCACACTGTTACCAATGTGTGACACAACGGGAGTTAACTTCCCGTGAATTTACCAAAAACTTACTGACTTAGTTCAAACTTCAGCTTATTGTAATTTTTTTTTCAACTAAACTGCAGATTTTATACTTCAAACTTAGGCGTTTGTGTGTTTGGAAAATGTAAGAATAGTGGCATTTAAACTTAGCACATAAAGTAATTTAGTGTTTGATTATTTCTTTGTTGTAAAAATGCTTCAATGTGATGAATATTTTTGAAAGCCTGTTCATTTCTCTTTTAAATGATGCCACATTTGTAAGGAACATGTGTTTGTGAGAAGAGCAGTGGAGCTGAGTGTGTTGTGCACAACATAAATTAACCAAATCTTCTCTGTCAAACAGCTGGTTTTGTTGTTAACTCTTGTTTTGAGCTTCTGGTCCCCCCAGGTGCCCACTGTAAGATTTATCACCAAGAAGCATCGTTACAATAAAATAATCAACCAAACACTAATTTCCTTACTTTTTGTAAGAAGTATGGATCTATTGCTGATATTCTTATTCTGAGTTTCTAGTTTTCTTTAAATTATGACCTCAAAGACGACAGGTTTTTATAGGTTGTATCTGTATCTGTAGGTTGGATTCAAAACTCTTTAAACCTCAAATCAAGGAAGTGTTTCTTCCCTTTTCTCATGACTGCAGCTTCTTCTTTTGTAAACTGTACATCAAAATGAAATAAAATATTTTGTAGTGGTTCTCATAAGAATGTTGGATCCCTGCATGGGTTTTTCTAACTGCTAAACCCTGTAAAAAAAACAAGTGTGAGTCTTTAACAGTCGCTTTCTTTAAATGAAATTACAGTTAATATTATTTCATAAGAAACTGTTGCCACAAATGTATCTTGGTGTGATGTTGGAAGAATTTATGGCTTTACTTGCTTCTATTTAACAACTAAAGACCGATATTTTGGTGTAGCTCAAAGCTAAAATGATTGATTTCAGTTAGAAAGTTATAATTTGTGTTGGATTTAAGTAGCTGTGATGATGGATCATCATCCTCATCTGCAGAAAGCAGGACTAAAACCCTGAGGTGCTGATATTATCCTCTCCATGTTCCTGTCCATGAACACCACAGGATCAGGGACAAAGACGTGTTGCAGTATGAAGACACAGCCCTCCTTTTTAAACAAGAAAAACCAACACTAACTTCAGTTATTTATAGGCAGAAAACTAATTATTTGCTGAGTGATTTGTTTAAATAGTTTCTATTCTGAGACCATTTCCCTGCTGCAGAACCAGGATTTAAACAGGATATAAAGAAATTAAAGTAGCACTCCTGGAGGTAACGCATCTCACCTCCTGTTTTATTTAACAAATATCTCAATCTCTGCATCTTTCTATATAAAAAGACTTACTCATAGCCATTTTTGTGTTTTTTGATGTTTAATAAAATGATAAAATGGTTAAAGTTTTTACTGTTTTTGTTCAACACTTTCACCAAACAACATGCTGCTGAATGCTTCACTTCTGCACAACTTTTCTTTTGTCACTATTTACTGAACAACAGTCAGGTTTTATGCTGTCTGTAAGCCGGCGTACAGGAAATAATGTGTTTATGCTGATTGTAGTCGTCAACCAGGAGCAAAGTAAACATCTGGACTGACTGAACGTGGAGCAGGTGGACCGATAGGTTCAGAACCAGACATACAGGACCTGATGTTCCACAGACAAAACAAACTAAAACAGAAGTTGAGAGGTTTAGTTTTCACTAAGCTTGTATTTTTCCCACACTGCAGCTTTAATAAAACTTTAAAACCCAGTTTCCAACATTAAGGACCTGTGGATAACTGAGGACATGAAGAAGCAGAAGATATGGCGATAACAGAACTTGGAGCTCCGACAGCTGCACCTTTTCCTTGTTTGAGCTCCACTTTGTGAAAACCTGAACTGGAAAGTTAACTCTTCGAATCAATGGCAGCTTTTTACACTTTTAAAGAGAACAGTGTGTGACATAAAGGCTGTCAGACCTGTATCAGATAAAGTTCAGTGTCAAACATGTGGAGACAAGTTTGAGTTCAAGTTCAGGTCAGAGCTCAGTGCTRCGAATAAAATGTCCAAAAATGACCTGTTTCCATGGACGACTCTCAGCTGCCATCACCCGAAATTTTAGCTCAGTGTCCGAAGGTGTAAAAACCTGAGTTTTACCATGGAGCCCCCCCATGGAGCCCCCCTCCCAAATAAAATAAAATCTAAACCCGCCTCTGCCTCAGAGGTTTGGAGGACTCGGAGCTCCAGGAGGTCCCACAGAAACAGAAACTAACAATAAAACTTCTGGTTTGGGACACGATTCTCAAAGATTTAAAAAATATTAATCGAGTTTGAGACCCTAATCTTTATGATGAGAAGCTCAAAC